AGGTGAATGTATTCAGATATTTGGGAGTGGACGTGTCAGCGGATGGGTCTATGAAAGATGAGGTGAATCATAGAATTGATGAGGGGAAAAGGGTGAGCGGTGCACTTAGGAGTCTGTGGAGACAAAGAACTTTGTCCCTGGAGGCAAAGAGGGGAATGTTTGAGAGTATAGTTTTACCAACACTCTTATATGGGTGTGAAGCATGGGTGATGAATGTTTCTGCGAGGAGAAGGCTGGAGGCAGTGGAGATGTCATGTCTGAGGGCAATGTGTGGTGTGAATATAATGCAGAGAATTCGTAGTTTGGAAGTTAGGAGGAGGTGCGGGATTACCAAAACTGTTATCCAGAGGGCTGAGGAAGGGTTGTTGAGGTGGTTTGGACATGTAGAGAGAATGGAGTGAAACAGAATGACTTCAAGAGTGTATCAGTCTGTAGTGGAAGGAAGGCGGGGTAGGGGTCGGCCTAGGAAAGGTTGGAGGGAGGGGGTAAAGGAGGTTTTGTGTGCGAGGGGATTGGACTTCCAGCAGGCATGCATGAGCGTGTTTGATAGATGTGAATGGAGACAAATGGTTTTTAATACTTGATGTGCTGTTGGAGTGTGAGCAAAGTAACATTTATGAAGGGATTCAGGGAAACCGGCAGGCCGGACTTGAATTCTGGAGATGGGAAGTACAGTGCCTGCACTCTGAAGGAGGGGTGTTAATGTTGCAGTTTAAAAGCTGTAGTGTAAAGCACCCTTCTGGTAAGACAGTGATGGGGTGAATGATGGTGAAAGTTTTTCTTTTTCGGGCCACCCTGCCTTGGTGGGAATCGGCCAGTGTGTTAATAAAAAAAGGGGGGGGGGGACAAAGGAGATTGTAAAAATAACAGGAGAATAAGTTTACTGAGTATACTAGGAAAAGTGTACGGTAGGGTTATTATTGAAAGAATTGTAGGAAAGAGAGTAGGATTGCGGATGAGCAAGGAGGCTTTCGAGTGGGTGGGAGATGTGTAAATCAAGTGTTTACATTGAAGCATATATGTGAACAGTATTTAGATAAAGGTAGGGAAGTTTTCATTGCAATTATGGATTAAAAAAGGCATATGATAGAGTGGATAGGGAATCAATGTGGCAGATGTTGCAAGTACATGTATATGGAATAGGTAGTAACTAAATGCTGTAAAGAGTTTTTATGAGGATAGTGAGGCTCAGGTTAGGGTGTGTAGAAGAGAGGGAGATTACTTCCTGGTAAAAGTGGGTCTTAGACAGGGATGTGTAATGTCACCATGGTTGTTTAATATATTTATAGATGGGGTTGTAAAAGAAGTAAATGCTAGGGCGTTGCAGAGATGGGTGTGATTAAATTATGGGGAATCAAATACAAAATGGGAGTTGACACAGTTACTTTTTTGCTGATGATACTGTGTTTATGGGAGATTCTAAAGAAAAGTTGCAAAGGTTAGTGGATGAGCTTGGGAATGTGTGTAAAGGTAGAAAGTTGAAAGTGAACACAGAAAAGAGTAAGGTGATGAGGGTATCAAATGATTTAGATAAAGAAGAATTGTATGTCAAATTGGAAAGGAGGAGTATGGAAGAAGTGAATGTTTTCAGATATTTGGTAGTTGATGTGTCAGTGGATGTGTTTTTGAAGGATGAGGTTAAACATAAAATTGATGAAGAAAAAAAAAGGTGTGTGGTTTGTTGAGGTTATGTGGAGACAAAATATGTTATCTATGGAGGCAAAAAAGGGAATGTATGAAAGTATAGTGGTACCAACACTCTTATATTGGTGTGAAGCTTGGGTTGTAAATGCTGCAGTGAGGGGGCAGTTGAAGGTAGTGGAGATGTCCTGCCTAAGGGCAATGTGTGGTGTAAATATTATGCAGAGAATTCGCAGTGTGAAAATTAGGAGAAAGTGTAGAGCTAATAAAGTATTAGTCAGAGGGCTGAAGAGGGGTTGTTGAGGTGGTTTGGTCATTTAGAGAGAATGGATCAAAGTAGATTGACATGGAGAGCATATAAATCTGTAGGGGAAGGAAGGTGGAGTAAGGGTCGTCCTTGAAAAGGTTGGAGAGAGGGGGTAAAGGAGGTTTTGTGGGCGAGGGGCTTGGACTTTCAGCAAGCATGCGTGAGCATGTTAAATAGGAGTGAATGGAGACGAATGGTATTTGGGACTTGACAAGCTGTTGGAGTGTGAGCAGGGTAATATTTATTGAAGGGATTCAGGGAAACTGCTTATTTTTATATAGCCGGAGTTGAGTACTGGAAATGGGAAGTACAATACCTGCACTTTCAAGGAAGGGTTTTGGAATGTTGGGTTTGGAGGGATATGTTGTATATCTTTGTACGTATATGCTTCTAAACTGTTGTATTCTTAGCTCCTCTGCAAAAACAGTGATTATGTATGAGTGAGGTGAAAATGTTGAATGATGATGAAAGTATTTTCTTTTTGGAGATTTTTTCTTTCTTCTTTTTGGGTAACCCTGCCTCGGTGGGAGACAGCCAACTTGTTGAAAAAAAAAAAATGTATGGATTACTCACTTAGTATTTTGTAGGATTACCCTTTTTCTTGATGTTCTCCTTACAGCAAATATAGAAGAGTAAGTACCCATACCTGTTTAATGGCACTCAGAGTTTGGCACATCCATGCCACAAAACTTATGCTCAACTAGGTTTTGCGTCTTCTCTATCAGGTTAAAGTTCAGCAGGTTACCAGGCCAGGCATTAAAGAATAAAAATTCACAATCATTATCCAGTTTTTTATCTCTTTGGCAGTATAACAAGGGGCACCATCTTGCATGCAAAACTTGCCGTGGCACTTAACAGAACTCTCAGGCAAATAGTCTTCTAAAGGCGTATTTATGTGCGTGCATATTTATGGTGCCTACAGTATGTGAGACCATTTTTTTTTCTGATGTGGGTTTTCTTTTTCCATACAGTGCTGAGTGACCATCTTGGGTTTAGCAGTTTCCATGATTATTGATTGTGTTTGCTTATTTGTATTAAGATTATGTAAATTTTTTTTGACATACCAGCCATCTACTGAAAAAGAAGAAACTCACCATCACTCGCACTCTTACTGTCTTGCCAGAAGTGTGCCGATACCACAGTGCAGTCACTGTACTTCCCACCTCCAGAACTCAAGTTCAGCTAACCAGTTCCCCTGAATCCCTTCATAAGTTACCTTGATCACACTCCAACAGCTCATCAAGTCATAAAAACCACTTGCCTCCACTCACTCCTATCTAATGCGCACACACACATGCCTGCTGTATGTCCAAGCCCCTCACATACTAAACCTCTTCTACCCCCTTCCATACTAAACCTCTTCCACCCCCTTCTATACTAAACCTCTTCTACCCCGTTCCATACTAAACCTCTTCTACCCCCTTCTGTACTAAACCTCTTGTACCCCCTTCCATACTAAACCTCTTCTACCCCCTTCCTCCAACCTTTCCTAATGTGACCCCTACCCCGCCTTCCCTCTACCACAGATTGAGACACCCTCCAAGCCATCCTAGTTATCCTATTTTGCTCCATCCTTTCTTAGTATCCAAACCACCATAACAGTCCCTCCTCAGCTCTGGCTAATACTTTTAGTAATCCTGCACCTCCTCCTAATCTCCAAACACTACAAATTCTCTGTATAATATTTACACTACACATTGCCTTCAGACACGACATCTCCACTATCTCCAGTCTTGTCCTCACTGCAGTATTCACCACCCATGCTTCACACCAATATAAGAGTGTTAGTACCACTATACTCTCATACATTTCCCTTTTTGTCTCCATGGATAATGTTTTTTATCTCCACAGATGCCTCAATGCAACACCCTGTTTTTTACCCTCATCACTTTTATGGTTGACCTCTTTCATAGACACTTCTGCCAACAAATCCACTCCTGGATATGTGAGCGCACACACTTACTCCGTACTCTCTCTCTCTCTCTAATCTTATATCCAGTTTTTCATTATCTAAATTTTTTGCTACTATCATCACCTTGTAATATATGCTTAATTTCTTTTGGATTGTTTGCATTTCTGATGAATACAGTACATGTATTAATAAAATATAACACCTTTTTAGTCCTCCATTAGATATGGTGTAAAGGGAATTGATTAATTATTGAAGAATTTCTTTTCATAAATTACCTTGTTTGTTGTAGGGAAATGAGAACACTTACCTCAATTACAATTGTACAGTTAAGATTTGTTCAGATTTTTAACCTGGTGGGCTAGCCACCCAAGATAACCCAAGAAAGTCAATGTGACATTGAGGACTGTCTGTCATAATTTCATTGGGGGTCCCTCAATCTTGATCACAGGATGTGACCTACACCTGTTGACTAACACTCAGGTAATTACTTACTGATAGGTGAACAGGATGGAAATGTTGGGCGTGTAAGGATACATGCCCAACATTTCCATCCATGTCAGGGATTGAACCACGGACATACAGTGTGTGAGGTGAGAGCATTGCCAACCATGGTGAAACTAAATAACACTTCAATCCAGCCTGGACTCATTACGTGTTAATGGTTCAGGACACGTCTAAATAACATTAAATTTTCTTTCAGATTTCTGAGTTAGTTGTGAATTGTTCTGTAGATGGTATTGATTTATTCTTCCTTATGCAATTTATTCAGTATCATAGTTTTATTTTGTGTTAATTATAACTAGCTGTTGGAGTGTGAGCAGGGTAATATTTTGTGAAGGGATTCAGGGAAACCAGTTAGCCAGACTTAAGTCCTGGAGGTGGGAAGTACAATGCCTGCACTCTTAAGGAGGGGTTTGGGATATTTACTGTTTAGAGTGAAATCAAAACTGTTGTATCTGCATGCCTCTGGCAAGACAGTGATAGTGTGAGTGATGGTGAAAGTGTTTCCTTCTCAGGTCACCCTGCCTTAGTGAGAGATGGCCAGTGTGTTAAAAAAAATAGTATGAAGACAATGTGCACAGAGATATCAATTACTATACTTGTGTGACCGTTTTCAGTATTTTTTATAACACTTGACAGATTCTTGGATTCCTCAATGTATTCCTGTGGGCAAGTAACCTTTGGTTTCTGTACAAAGAGACTCACTACTTCAAGGACAAGGCTAATGCTAAAGCTGCAGCTACAAATGCCATGGGCACTGCATAAGGTAAGTGATGTTTTTACTGTGGACTCCTGGGGAGCCCATTACAATATATACGTATATAGGCATGTGCCAAAATACAGTAATCCTTCATGTAAAGGACATTTAGCACTTTCACTATTGTGGAGGAACTGGTTAGATAAGCACACTTTCCTGCATGAAACAAACATATGACAAGCGATACTTGTCTTTCAACCCTTTGAGGGTCCATTCTGTAGTTCTACAGCTTTGAAGCCTGTGTCCAAGCCGTAGTTCTACTCCACGAGCTCAGCTCACTCAGATAAGCTGTGAGCTGTAAATTTGGGCCTAGATATGAGAGAATGCATCTGTGTGGTAAGTGTGCACCATATAAAACAAATCCTGTAGCACGTAGTGCATAATCAGAAAAAAAAACCAGTATGTTTTTTTTATTAAAACAGCAACTTTGCGGTGTATTTTCGTGTGTTTTTCATGGTTGTATTTGTGGTTTCTTGGTTTCATTTGATAGAATGGAAGATGTATTACAGAAATAAAGATGATCGTGATTGGTTTTATTACTGAAAATAGGTTAAAACTGAGCTTAAAATAGCAGAAATGTTCGATTTTTCCCGATGTTCAAGAGTAAATAAATGACATCACACGTCAAATACACTTCAGTTGGTGGGTCTAATGTGTGTTTACAAATGCGCTGATATTGTTTATACAGTTATTACAGTATTGCATGACAGTAAATCTTCTATTTTTTGGTGTGAATAAAAATTCAATATGGGAATGAAAAATTATAGTGGAATTCATTTGTAAAGCCTGAAAATGTAACTAATAAACAGAGGAAATGTTATTTTAGTGCCAGGAATGCCTGCATTGTTTGTTCTGGACCCTATTTTGAAATTGGAATCTTTTGAACTTTGTGTGAAATTGGCCAAATTACCAATTTCAGATCACTTTATTGGGTAGTTGAAATAGTTGATTGGGCGATCTTGTGCTCAGTCAATAAAATAGAAGTAATACTAGCGAAATAACTAAGAATATGGTTGACTGGAATAATGTAATTGGCCTAAATTGGGAATCAAAGTTCACAAAATCGCCGATGCATAAATATCGCTGATGCAGCAAAATTTGCAAGTGTAATTTTGTCAGTTTTCTATCATTTCATACCTTCGGAAAAAGATTCTCTGCCATTTCATAAGAAAAAATAACAAATTTTTTTTTTGAAAATTCTTGGACCCTGTGAACAAGTTTCAGAGTGAGGGGTCTGAACCCTGAAAGGGTTAATTTGGATTTTGCATATTTATAGAAGTATTTGGGATTTCTTGCAACATTCTGGATGGCTTTTTTATTCTCTTTGTGCTTGTATCCTGTAGGACAACATAAAAATTAAGTTTTTGTTCTATCTTGGTGATTTCTCGGCTCAAGTTATCTTTGGTGTATTGTGGCATATTTACTTGTGCTTTTAAGCAATTTAGTAATGTTTTTTTTTCTTCTGTACATACTTCTACACTCTGTATGTGATCTAGGTTTTTCTCAGTAGTACATATTTAATGAAGACCTTGTATGCTTCTGTGTTCAACTTTTCCAAGCAGTGGTGAGGATTTAGGGTGCTCATGATTGTATCCCAGAGTATTACTAACATTTCTTAGTTAATTTTGTCCCAGTTAATTCTGTGGTTGTTGAAGTTAAATTTACTGAACATCCCTTCTTGTACAATATTACTGGAGTTTCCTACTCTTGTTTATACCTCTACGATTCTGTGATCACAGTACTGTATATTGTGTTTGTGATTGTAATGTTCTAGGTAGTAGGTTGGTAGACAGCAACCGCCCAGGGAGGTACTACCGTCCTGCCAAGTGAGTGTAAAACTGAAGCCTGTAATTGTTTTACACGATGGTAAGATTGCTGGTGTCTTTTTTTTTTATCTGTCTCATACACATGCAAGATTTCAGGTATGTCTTGCTACTTCTACTTACACTTAGGTCACACTACACATACATGTACAAGCATATATATACACACCCCTTTGGGTTTTCTTCTATTTTCTTTCTAGTTCTTGTTCTTGTTTATTTCCTCTTACCTCCATGGGGAAGTGGAACAGAATTCTTCCTCCGTAAGCTATGCGTGTTGTAAGAGGCGACTAAAATGCCGGGAGCAAGGAGCTAGTAACCCCTTCTCCTGTATATATTACTAAATGTAAAATGAGAAACTTTCGTTTTTCCTTTTGGGCCACCCCACCTCGGTGGGATACGGCCGGTGTGTTGAAAGAAAGAAAGAAAGATTGTAATGTGTCTTATATTGTTTGTGAAGATCAAATCCTGTGTATCTTCATTTCTAGTGGGGTCTGTAACCTATTGTGTCAATGCAAACTTTTTGCATAGCTTGATTAGTTTCCTGATGTGAACTATTTCTGGTACAGTGCTATGATGAGTTTGATATCTCCAAGGAGGATATTTGATATAAGGTTTTTGAGACTCATAGCAGCTGTTTTTTCTTTCTTACCTGAGCCATTCTCTCATATCTAGGCCAAAATTTACCACTCACAGCTTATCTGAGTGAGCTGAGCTGAGCTCATGACGTGGAACTATGTGAGGGACCCCTGGCCTCAGTGATGTAGTTCTACATGACAGCCACTGACAGGGTTGATAGTGTCCTATCAATGAGCACCCAGATGGTGGTGGAGGTGGTGGTGGAGGTGGTGGTGTGGAGTGGAGGTGGTGGTGGTGGTGGTGGAGTGTGGTGGAGGTGGTGGTGGAGGTGGTGGTGGAGGTGGTGGTGGTGGGGTGGTGGTGGAGGTGGAGGTGGTGGTGGAGGTGGTGGTGGTGGTGGAGGTGGTGGTGGTGGAGGTGGTGGTGGTGGAGGTGGTGGTGGTGGTGATGGAGGTGGTGGTGGAGGTGGTGATGGAGGTGGTGGTGGTGGTGGAGGTGGTGGTGATGGTGGTGGGGGAGGTGGTGGTGAGGTGGTGAGGTGTGGTGGTGGAGGTGGTGGTGGAGGTGGTGGTGGTGGAGGTGGTGGTGGTGGTGGTGGTGGTGGAGGTGGTGGTGGTGGAGGTAGTGTTGGAGGTGGTGGAGGTGGTGGTGGTGGAGGTAGTGTTGGAGGTGGTGGTGGAGGTGGAGGTGGTGGTGGAGGTGGTGGGGTGGAGGTGGTGGTGGAGGTGGGGTGGAGGTGGTGTGGAGGTTGGGGATGGAGGTGGTGGTGGAGTGGTGGAGGTGGTGGTGGAGGTGGAGGTGGTGGTGGTGATGGAGGTGGTGGTGGAGGTGGTGGTGGTGATGGAGGTGGTGGTGGAGGTGGTGGTGATGGAGGTGGTGGTGGTGGTGATGGAGGTGGTGGTGGAGGTGGTGGTGGTGGAGGTGGTGGTGGTGGAGGTAGTGGTGGTGGAGGTGGTGAGGTGGTGGAGTGGTGGTGGTGGTGGAGTGGTGGTGGTGGAGGTGGTGGTGGTGGAGGAAGTGGTAGTGGTGGTGGTGGAGGTGGTGGTGGTGGAGAAGTGGTAGTGGTGGTGGTGGAGGTGGTGGTGGTGGTGGATGGTGGTGGAGGTGGTGGTGGGTGGTGGTGGATGTGGTGGTGGAGGTGGTGGAGGTGGCGGTGGTGGATGTGGTGGTGGTGGTGGAGGTGGCGGTGGTGGTGGTGGTCGTCGTCGACGACGACAGTGTACTGTCTGCACAGACAGCCCATGCTGTCTGCCAGCTTAGTTCATATTTCCCACCATGCTGGTGCTGCCACCTATAGGCGTTGCCACTTCAGCCTGCCTGCCCTTGCCACACTCACTCACACAGTGGTCTAGCAGGAAGACACAAGTACTCCCAGCTCTCTCTTGTGGGATGGCCCTGCCCGGGCCATGGGCACAAACACACAAGCCTGTGTACCCACCACGACTTAACAATAAACAAAGAAGCCTCCGAAGACGTATCATTTACTCCCCCTACCAAATAATCCTTTTTATACAGTGGACCCCCGCATACCGATTTTAATCCATGCAAGAGGGCTCATTGGTATGCGAAATAATCGGTATGCGAATGAATTTTCCCCATAAGAAATAATGGAAATCAAATTAATCCGTGCAAGACACCCAAAAGTATGAAAAAAAAAAATTTTACCACATGAAATGTTAATTTTAATACACACAAACTGAAAAAGGCATGCACAATTACATGACACTTACTTTTATTGAAGATCTGGTGATGATTGATGGGATGGGAGGAGGGGAGAGAGAGTGTTAGTGTTTAGAAGGGGAATCCCCTTCCATTAAGACTTGAGGTGTCGAGTCCTTTTCTGGGGTTACTTCCCTTCTTTTAATGCCACTAGGACCAGCTTCAGAGTCACTGGACTTCTTTCGCACAACATATCTGTCCATAGTGGCCTGTACCTCTCGTTCCTTTATGACTTCCCTAAAGTGTTTCACAACATTGTCAGTGTACAGGTTGCCAACACGGCTTGCAATAGCTGTGTGAGGGTGATTTTCATCCATGAAGGTTTGCACTTCAAGCCACTTTGCACAGATTTCCTTAATCTTTGTAGTAGGCAACTTCTTCAATTTCTCTCTCCCCTCCTCTGAACCAGTTTCCTCAGGTCTGGCCTCTTGCTGTTGAAGTTGATCTATCAGCTCATCAGTGGTTAGTTCTTCATTGTCCTCCTCCACCAACTCTTCCACATCCTCCCCACTAACCTCCAACCCCAAGGACTTTCCCAATGTAGGTCCTGCTTGGCATTTTCTTCCAAAACAGGCCTGTTTCATCACAATTAAACACTTGTTCAGGTTTCAGTCCTTCACTGTCTATGTACTTCTTGAATTCCTGCACATATTTTTCAGCTGCTTTGTGGTCCGAACTGGCAGCCTCACCATGCCTTATCACACTATGTATGCCACTACGCTTCTTAAATCTCTCAAACCAACCTTTGCTGGCCTTAAATTCACTCACATCAGCACTAGTTGCAGGCATTTTTTTAATTAAATCCTCATGCAACTTCCTAGCCTTTTCGCTTATGATCGCTTGAGAGATGCTATCGCCTGCTATCTGTTTTTCATTTATCCACACCAATAA